ATCATAACAATAACAAATAATTGAAAAAACTAAAATAAATACCCAATGGTTGGATCAGACCGGGTTAGGTCCAATCAAATTGAAACAAAAGGACAGGTCCTTGAAACCCTAGTTTAAACGAGTCCCTCTTTCATCGTGAAAACAAAACATTCCAAGCTTTCCTCTCAAATCACGAGGATGAAGCCATGAATCCCTATTTATCTCTACATGCAAGCACAAATCTGAGAGCAAAATAAACATAAAGAAAAAACCACCCTCGCCCCTACGAAACCCCTAAAATCTCCAAGTCTATTGATGGTTCGGATTATAGCAAGATTATAAAGCTTTGGCAACGAAATTAAAGCAAAAAAAATAAAAGGTATGTTTCTATGCTCGCTTGATCTTCTTATTTTTGTCTTTCCCTTTTCTGATTTGCGTGATTTTTTCTTCTTCTATGCTATGTTGTTATTGTTTCATCTTTTTCATACTTATGCACCTTATTGTATGTTTCTGCGAATATGAGATGTGAATGAGTATTATTATGGTTTGGTGTTCAGATTGAAAGGGTGGTTTAGAGTTTATTGAAGGTTGTGCAAAGGTTTCTACAAAGAGAGGTGGGGTCTGTTGAAGTTGCATGAGTGAGAACAAAGGGTTTGTAGTGAAGGTTTTGTAGGGTTTATTCTAGAGGGAAGGTCCGATTTAGGTTGAGAAGAGGGAGTATTTGTAGTGTGAGGGTTTAAGGGTTGTGAGCAGATATTTCTATAAAGGATGTTTGTTGTGATGATTTTTTATTTGTGTTTTCTTTGTGATTTCTGTGGAGTATTTTGGTGGTGATTTTCTGCTGCTAAATGAGTGAATAAAGGGTGTGTTATATAGCAGAATGAGAGTGAGTGTAAAAGGGAGAATTGAGTGAAGATATGGATAAGGATGAGGAATTGGAGGAGCTGAAATTGAGGGATTTGGAATGAAAGGAAACTGCGGAAATTATTGAAAGACTCGAAACTGGAAATTTATGGTAGATTGAATGAAATAGCATGGAACAAGACGCTGGGGAACACAAGATATTATGGAGATCCGTCAAGGTGACAAAAAGTATCCATCAATACTTGAAAAGAGAAGTATAAAACCTTGAAAAGACAAGAGACATCTAGAAAAGCATCAGATGCAAAAGGTAACCATACTCTGGAAAGTACATCATAAACATCCAATATTTGCTTTGGAACACAGATAACGACATCCAATCTTTGCTTTAGTGTAGCCATCAACTGGTAAATCTACAATAAATTGGACATAGAATTTGTAGCTCATGGACAACTGAGGTCTTTAAAAGGAAAACTCAATCCTAATGAAAGGGGTGAAAAGATAAGGATAATTTATTCTACAAGAGTCTTAGGGTTTGGGAGTCTTTTTAAAGTATTGTGTTTTTGTGTATGTCACTCATGTATCTTGTTGATACATAGAGTTTGACTGATTGTTTATTTTTCATTGTCAATTACTCACGAGCTTTTAAGCAAAGAGTGGATTGTTTGTAATTGGAAGTGTGATCTTCTATTTTTCTTCTTTTGTTATTGTCACTGAGGTGACTGTGGGAAGTGAGATGAGGTTCTCATATTTAGGAGGTTCTTAGACAAAAGTTGCATAAAATAGTGATTAGGTGATAAGTTGTAAACTAGGGTTGTTTAGAATTTAACTAATACTATCATAGTGTATTTCCTTCCTGACTTGGATGCCCTCGGAGTAGGTGAGTTTCACCAAACTGGGTTAACAATTGATTGTGTCTTTTACCTTCTGCAATTTACTTATGCATAATTTATTATTTTGGTAAAAGTATTTTTGTCAGGAGATGATGTCTTAATATCTGTCTTGACATTGTATTTTGATGTTGAGACATCAGTTGTAACATTTATTTGAAAGTTCCAGAATTTCATAGATGTTTGATGTTATGGACATTGTCCTCCAGTGTCTAATTCTGACAGTGTAGCTCTTCCATAGTGACACACATCTTCTTCAGAGCATTCAAATCACTGATACCAATAATATCCCCTAGAGTAAGAGATGGAGCATTCCTGTTAACCATGGCTGAGAAAGTCTAGGTATAAGAGTGGAGGGTGACAGCGAGTATGGTGATTGCGATGAAGAATGTGTGGCCTAGGTTAGTTTTATTAGAGCTTCGCGGTAGGCGTCACTATATTGGTCAAAAAGTACAGGTGCACATGTTACTCTTACAAGGGCAGGGGTACTCAAAGACTTGTGTTTATAACAGTTTGTGGTGGTTAAGGCTTGCCCATGGCAGCGAGAAGTCTTTGTATCTCAGTTTGATGCTTGTGTATAAGTGTAAGGATTAGAATATGTCCTAGGCTTTAGGAAACCCTCAGAGGTCGTAATCGCTGACTAGGAAGAGATTGTCGACTACTTATTTTTTTCTTTTTCATATAACTAATAGGAGATAATGATACTATACACGCCATCTGTCATAAGGGTGGGCCTCATGTTTCGTGAGGATGTCGCCTGGACGACATTACTCTAGACTAAAACCCTGAAGTCGCTCTTATTTGAGACTCTCACAAATATAAACTACAATACACACTCTTATTACTATTATAAGAAGAAAAAAAGTTTAATTCATTAAATAAATGATGTATTTGGTCATTATTATATATATCAGACATATCAATTGTTCAATGAATTTAATTTTTTTAATTTATAATAATAGTAATTAGAGGATGTATCAAAATTTGTTTACATTATTTAAAATAATTAATATGAAAATGGAAAGAGATAAGTTTGTAGAAATATCGTATATTTATCAAGGAGTGATTTTTGGTCATTTTTTGTTTGAAATCACCCATAAACACTATTTTTCACCATCTTCTTATTTAAATAAGTGGTTATCCACATAGATTTGCTTCTTCTTATTTGTGTTTTTAGATTTTCGTTTTTCATACAATATTTGTTGATTTCTCCATCTTAGTACGATATTCGTTGGTTCAGATTGACATCTTCACTCTAACTTACAGATCTGATGAAGACTTGGGCGTCAATGTTGAAATATAAAAATATGAATATTTCAGTTACTTTTATTTTATCATATTTGTAGACGCTATGATGTTGTCGTTGTATACTATTCATCTAAGTGTCGAAAGATTTTTAATCGATTTATCTTTTTTAACTTTTAAAATCTTAAATTTATAATGATCGATATACTTTTCAATTTGAATTAATAAATATTATTTTAGTCAAAAAAGAAGTTTGTAGAAAAAGAAAAAATAATAAAGTTAGATTTATTCTCTTGGATCCTTCAATTGTTTGACTATTTACTTTAAATAGGGAAAGAGATAAATAAAAGATTAAAATAAAAAATATATAAAATTTGTTTTTTCTTTTCTTTTTCTTTCATATCGACCATCAAATATTTTAGATTGTCTGAACTTATAATTTATCTATGAACATGACTACATTAATTAACCTACCTAAATAATTAATGCATTGTAACAAAAATGTCATTTGTTAAACTTTTAGAAAACTTTTTAGACTTTAATAAATATTTTGAGATTATTTATATAAAAGAAACAAGATTTGAGTCGGAGAAAAGAGAAAGTTTTAAACTGCTACCTACCAAAAATAAAACACATTCATGTTGTTTCGTGCCCCCTCGAAATTATAAATAGAGAGTTATCCAATTCAATTCAAATCAGTTATATATTCTCTCTTTTGGCTTCCAAATAGCCACCGCCTCTCTCTCTCTATAGCACATTCCGTCGCTTCTCCAATTTCGTTCTTCTTTCTCAATTTTCCGATCAATGTTCGCGTAATTCACACCGTGGTTTTGAGGTTAGTTACTCTCACTATTTGACTATTGCAACAACTAATATTCAATTATGTTTTACTATGTAACACTCACACCTCTGGAAAAGACCGCATGCTCGTAGCTGTATCACATATTTATATTTGTGATTAGGTTTAATTTATTTATTTAAAATTATTTATGTTATTGTGGGGTCAAATTTGAGGTGTGACTGTCATTTATGTTTTTCAAATTCTTGTGTTTTATTGAGTGACATCATTGAATTCCATTAAACGTTTCTAAAAAAGTATACATAGTGTTTTCGAAATTTAATGTATTGATATTAATGGTATAAAATTAGTACTATCATTCTAGATTTGTACCGACAACATTTACAGGTATCGGGTATCGTCTGTTTTTGAATTACGTGGGTGTTTGAAAGTATGTATTTGTTCTAAATTTGAATCAAATACATTAAAGTGACTATCTTAGTATTTGTAACAACAATTAAGTCTTATCTCCTTAAGTTATGCTATACTCTCTCTATGATAAATTATCTCTCTATGATAAATTATTATGATAAATTATAAGTAAATTTGATTTTTTTTGATACATTTGGGCATTAATGTATCTGGTCTATATATATGAATTAGATATATTAATTGTCAATTATATTTTAAAAAAAAGTCAAATTTATTTATAATTTGTTACGGAGAGAGTAATGTTTTATAAAAAAAATCATATTTTTGAGTTTTTTTTTAAAGTCGCGCCAGTGCAGTAGAATGTCCTTGCAAATAATCATGTTTCTGAGTATTTAATATGTGTTTTAAATTAAGATACTCAGAAAATTAATTAGGATTTTTTTTATGTGTGTGCTTTTGGGGGTTGGTTGAATTTTTCTTGATGAACATTTGCCATATTTTGGTTATGTGATAACTGGTTTTCAACTGAACAGGTGAAAAGTATATTGGTGGAGATTTAAGAAGGACAAAGATTTACTTGCATACACAACTCTGGCCAAGTTTATAGAGATAGCTGCAGCAATTGGAAAATGCTTTGATCTTTTGTTTTTCGATTTCGGGTTTTGTTCATACAGGTTTCCAGCTATTGTTCTGTTCCATCCTACCGATTATGGTTAACAATCGATACAATGTGAATGCTGTGGAGATGGAAGTGGTAATTTGATTGCATAGAAAGTGTAAAGAAAAAAGGATTTAGAATAGTTTTGTATTTCGAGATGGCAATAATGAGTTGCTTTTCGATTTTGAATGAGTTTAAGGTGAAAAAAAAGGTAAGAGTCAATTGGGTTTGAATATAGTGTTGTTTTGTTTTGTGCTGTTCCTTTGATGCTTGTGATTAACCTGTTTTAGTGTTTTTATGTGTTGTTTCTTTAGGCAGGGAAAGAAAAATCTACTAAAAAGAATTCCGGTACTCTAATTTCCAAACTACAACACTCGGTATCATCTAAGTCGTATGATTTGGAGCCAGCCACTTTTGATCTTACTGTAACCAATGGTTTTATGAAAAACTCGAGGAGTGATGTTAGGGTTATGCCTCTTGAGAGTCCTATGAAAGCTGGAGTGGGAGAAGTTTATGAAGGTGGCGATGAAACTGAGAATGAAAATCCGTCCTCAATCAAGAGGGAGCTCTCGGGTTTTGATATTCAATCCGATGAACCTGTTGCAATCAAAGAAGGGTATGATCCAAAAGAGAAAAACCAAGTCAGCGATGAATTGGAAGATCAAAGTGATAGATATAGCCGAAAGAGTGATGATACAAACCATAGTGGACATGTGAGTGATCCTGGTATTGGGAAATCTGATTTTTTGGCTTCTCCAAACCTCATGCGGTCGTGCTCTAACCTTGAAAGTAAGGATGTTCGTAGCCAGATAAATGAATACTCATGTCCTTCAAAGTCGCTATCTTTTGAAGACTATTGCGATTTATCGACAAACCCGATGGATAATCTTAAGAGGTCTAGGTCTGTGAAGAGTCACTGCAGTGCTGATAGAGTGATGTTGAAACGACATTCTATAAGTCAAATACTCCCGTCTGGAAGTAAAAAATTGTGGTGGAAGTTGTTCCTCCGGAGTCAGACGAACATACATAGAACATTCTCTAGAAAATCGAAACTTGTTCCTGCTATTAGTTCTTTAAGCGATCAACTAGGGTATTCTTCTAACACCCTTGAACCAAAACATTTGAAGGCAATGAAACATGTGCAATCCTCCGTGTCAATTACTGCGCAATCCATTAGTGAAATCATCGATGGCGATGATCAAAGGCAGAACAGATTTCCTAACCAATGGCTTGCTTTCTCGAAAGAATCATCTTCTTATGACCGGGTGGATGCGTGGATCAAAGATCTTGAAATTCAGGAACCAGTTCCGGAGGATGGTGTTCTTGATTACAATGCCAGAAGCATTTCCTTCCCATCTTTTCCTGAGGCCGGTAGACCAATGATAGGAAGCACGTCTCAATTGACTTATTCAAATTCCAATCTTTCAAAGGATATTTTGAAAGCCAATAGTATGGTCCAGTCTCTAAATCCAGGTTCATCGGTTGCTCACATATCCGGCGTTGGCATAAAAGCCATCCCCGTAATATCATATTTCTCCAATCTCCGCTATGTCAATTTGTCCAACAATTTCATAGGTATATTGTAACTTCGTGGGTAGAATGCAGCTCTTAGTGCAGCTTAAATTAACAACTAAACTAACTCAATTTCAATATCTTCTTTATTATTGTTGTTCTGCAGTTAGCATCATACCAGGATGTCTACCAAAGAGTGTTCAAACACTTAATTTGTCAAGAAACAAGATTAGCACCATTGACGGCCTCAAAGAATTGACCCGGTTGCGAGTACTTGACCTGAGTTACAACTGCATCTCAAGAATTGGACAAGGTTAGTGTCTATGCTAAAATACGTTCATAGGAATCTGCCTGTCTCGAGTTTGAATTTCGGCTTAAATAATCTTCACTTATCTCGCGATTGTACTGCATATAGGGGGCAAAACGGGCATGGCCTGCTGGGCATGACTGCTTTACCCACATTTTTTCGCGAGAAAGACCAAGGTTTTAAGCCTGCACCCTCTAATATGTTTGTCTCTCCCCGCCCCGTTTATGCGGATTTTCGCGGCATTAACATACACTTTTATGATTTTTAGGCTTTAGAGGTGCAGGGCCCGTCCCGCTCCACCCTCATATTTTTTCGAGTCGGGTCAAGGTTTTAGGTCCACTTTCAACTAAAGATAAAATATAGGAATTTGTTGGTCTTCTTTGTTTATAACCGCGTAACAATTGTTCACAATGTGATTTATAAGGTTTATCGAGTTGTACACTTGTCAAGGAGCTATATCTTGCTGGAAACAAGATAAACGATATCGAGGGACTACACAGGTTGTTTAAGCTAACAGTTCTGGACCTGAGCTTCAACAAAATCACCTCAACGAAATCTTTAGGCCAGCTCGTGGCTAACTACAACTCACTCCAGGCTCTTAATCTACTAGGAAACGCTATTCAGAGAAACATCGGTAACCAACAGCTAAACAAATCTGTATCTGGTCTTCTTCCAAATCTGGTGTTTCTGAACAAACAACCTTTCAAGAATAAAAGGGCGGCGCAGAACATATTTATTGATAGTGTTACCAATGCTGCACTTGGGAACAGCAACAAGCGGAGCTCCGGAAGAAGATCAATGAATCGAGTTGGACAACTGCGAGAAGGATCGAGTGTCACGTCAAAAGGCAGGAACGGGACAAGGAGGTGAAATTGAAGCAGATTGTTGCTTGTAGAAGGAACAAGTTATCAGAAGTTTGTTCAGTTTGGTGTTTAGAATGTTTCATTCGTATATAAATAAATAAGAGGACACTTATTTAGGTCTTTTAAAATGCCTATGTATAAGAGGAAACTGTGTTATGTCTTTTGTTTTGTTAAGTGTTGAAGTGAAGAGTTTGGAACTTGATATGATGATCTAGGTTTCATGATCTCTATGAATATTATGTGAATAACGTTGTCACAGACAATTTGAATTGTAAATCTGTGTTAAAAAGTTATTTGGAAAAAAAGATAGACACTCCGACCTGCCGGATTCGAACCAGCGACCTAAGGATTTCTATCAGGAAATATGCCCACTACAGTCCTCCGCTCTACCAACTGAGCTAAGGTCGGTTCGTGATAACCTTTCTGAAATTTGTTATAAATTCAAATGTTTGTTAAATTACTGTGTATTCCATCTCATGTAATCAAAGTTACTTTAAAGGAAAATTGAATTTCATTTGATATTTTATAATTTTTTGGAACGATATTGTTTTAAAACAAATGAATCTTATATTAAGAAGAAAAATGATGGAAATCTACCATTAATTGATTTACAATGGTTTTTTTTATACAAATTTAGCCATATAGTAAATCAATTAATTTAGTTTTATGATTTAGAAAGATAATTTACCGACTAAATCTTATTTTTACTAAAAATTAAATAGTAAACTTATTTTAAATTGAATTTTTTACTAAAAATTAAATAGTAAACTTATTTTAAATTGAATTGAAATTTAAATCGATCAATTTTTATTAAGTTTGGCTTAATTAAATTTGATTAAACTCGACTCATTTATAATCATTTGTTCAATGTTTATTTTATTAACTTTTTATTTATTTTTTTTATATTGTCAAATAAATATTCAGATACTTATTTAATATTAATTGGGAAAGTTATATAAATAAATAAATAATTACTACAACTATGTTGATATCAAAGATGTAACGTGTTGAATTTTTATCCAAAATGTTACTTTATAAAATTGTATTTATTTTATGAAAATGTGACTAATTTATCAAGAAGAATCTAAAACTATAATACTCATTTCAAAGAAAACTTACTAATATCATTTTCTTCTAAAAGTAAAAACACACTTCACATTTCTAATTCGTGTATGACTTTAAAAAAAAATACTATATTTATTTATTTATTTATTTTATTTTCAAAATTACGTGGATCATCGTGTCATTCGCACTTCAAATCTTTAAATATATTAATTATTTAAATATTGTTCTACTACACACAAATTTAATCTTGGAGGCAAAATTGATTTAACTTCAATTATAAAGTCGAGATAACGAAATACGATATAATGATTTACCACTTAACTTCGGTTTTTTAATAACCATAAAAATAATTGAAATGGTTATAGATTCAATCTCTAACGATGATTTTTTTTTTTCCTTCTATTTTCAAACGTTAGCACCACCTTCCATAACCAAATCAAGAGAAAAAATAAATAATTTTTTGAAAATAATAGTAAAGGACTCGTGCGCGCAAAATCGATATAAATATTAAATAAATATTATATAGTTAATCTTAAGAAATGTATATAAAAATATATACGAAATAAGAGAAAAAAAGTTAGAACAGAATTTGTGATATAAATATTAATTTAGTTTATCAAATTGTAGTAGTTGTTAGAATATAAATAAAAATTATGTTGAAAAATATATGAGTATATGGTGTAATATACTTCACAGATATATAAAATCATTTATATATTTGTGCGATTGCATGAGTCGTACAATATTATTACAAATATACAATGTTCGTCTGTCTGCCTCCTCCAGCACACATGGTTTTGTGGGATGAGTAAAGATTTTAAAATCTATGTGTCTATTTAAAATATATGTCACTTGTTTTTGTTTATGTAAATAATTGTATTAACAATTGATTTTTTTCATTAATAAAAATATTTATAATTTATTTTCGTTTATAAAAATAATTGTATCAATAGTGGAATATTTCTCATTTATAAAAATATTTATAAATTATTTCCGTTTATAAAAATATTTATATTAACGATTAAACTTTTTTTCATTAATAAAAATATTTATAACTAATTCTCGTTTATAAATATATTCGTGAATTTTTTTTATATTGATAGTAGATTATATAAATAAGATAATATTATGTGAAATTTACTTGATGAATTAATGCTTTAATAGTCATATTATTGTATCATAAAAATGCAAAATAAATATGTACATTTATTAATTCAGAGGCTCAATAACTGATTACATAATTAATTAATTAATTTTTAACAGAGTTCTAAATAAATCAATAATAACGGTGCTAAAAAACAATAAAAAAGTAAATTGTTTAAAAATGATAGTTTTTTTTTAGAATTTATTTAACTTAAAAATATCATGCTATAGGAATAAAGAAAAATTAACTAGGCACCAATATATTTAAGTTAATATGACTAATATTTTGTTTTTTTTTTATTGTTAAAGTTATATATTTTGTACTTTAGATTGATTTATAAATTTACTAACAGTTTAAGTATTTAAAATATATTAATTTACATTTTTTGCTTATTGATTAATAATTAAAATTATAATTAAAATATGATATTAATTATATAATATAAATCTCAAGTTGAAATATTATGTTAAATTAGAATTGAATGACTTTGAAATTGTTTTTACATAAATAGTTACTCTAAGAAATATTTAATGAGCTAAAACATATTTTATATGATTTTTTTAATATAAAATTTACTAATCAAGATAATCTTAATCTTATTAATAATAAATGAATAATTAGCTAAAATGTCCCCAAGGCACCATTTCTATGAATATATTCCTAAATTAAATAAATAATAAAAACTAAAGCTCTAAAAAATCCTCCAAATATGGAAACTATATATTAATATTTTTCACTTCTGCCCATCCGTTTTCAATTTTGTTTACTTTGTCTCATTCTTCCATTCAAATTTTGACGCATAATGGAGATAGAACCAATCTTAGAAAGAAAATAAGACACATTTATTTGGAATTTCAAATATATTTCGTTGTTTATAAATAGACATTAAAAATATATCATAATCACTAATATGATTAACAGCATTAAAAATTATCAATCATATAACAGTTGAAGAATGACAACGCCATTAATATATATATATATATATATATATATATATATATATATTCTCTTCATTTGAACAATTGTCTTGTGCCAGCTTCTATGTGTACTTTTCTATTTACAAAGTTTTAAGTGAAATCTATATTATTGAGAAAACCCCATATATAGGGTGTGTCAATTTTGTTAACCCTTATAACTCATTTTTACAACAACAGTTGTTCGAACAAATGAATAAATGAAGAATCTAAAAGCAGAATAAAATAAAATATAGTATTAATCGTGTAACATGATTAATGAATCTATAATTTATAATAGCATAATATTGTTACTAAAATTTATTAAATCACCTTGCAACAACATGAAGTTAAGGAAGAATAACAACATGGACCAAAAATATTTAAATATAACGAAGAGGAAGAGCAAATTTGAAGCATAGCTCGTCGATGTTGAACGGAATCGTTGCACCTCCATTGAACTCGCAACCAACATCTCTGGCAGACTGTGTTGCAACATGTCTATATTTCAATATGTTAAATTTAAAAATTTCTTAAGTCCCACATTGTTAGAATATTTTTTTTTGTTGAAAAAACCATTTAGTCTCACATTTTTAATGTGAGAAATATTAACTATCTTATTTCATTATATAAGGAATGCACATGTTTCATTCCAAATTACACCAAAAACTATTTTATTAGTTTTTTCTTCCTCACTCTCATAACTCCGCGTCTCTCGAATTGTCGAAGTGTCATCTTCTTCCACTTTCTTCCTACTCGAGAAATTTTCAAGGTTAATCTTTTGGATTCTCTTTGGAGAATTATTTCAATTTCTCTTTGTTGGAGAAATTATTATGAGTGGTCAAATGACCATTATTAATTTCTCTTTTGAGAATTATTTGAGTTTCTTTTTGTTTTAGAAATTATTATGACTGGTCTTTGTACCAGATACTACGAGTGGTGTTGATACCATATTTGAATGGTCTTGTACCATCAGAGGGTGTATTTCTAGACTGATTATCTATCATGCAAGTAGTAATCGTACCGTATAAAACTGGGCTGTTTTATCCTGGAGGCGGCGCGATAGTTCGACTACTTTGCATAATTTTGAGTAGTGTCGTGAAACGTCTTAAAGAGAACGACCTAGTCCGCGACTCAACCTGGTAATTTCTTCGGTGGCAAATATTTTAAAATCTGAAAACAACAATTTTAAGACGTTTCAAACTGCCATGACTACCGAAGAAATTATTGATTCTTTTGCGGATATTGTCTTTGAGAATTCGTTCATGTTTGAGAGAAGTCACTTCAAACGTTGGCAACAAAAGATGAAGCTCTTAACATTGAAAAAAGTTGCTAACGTTCTGATCGATGACATTTTGTTGCTCCTTCTGGATCAATCGAACAAACTAACGGTAGTAAATATGGAGATTTAGAAGGAACACTTAATAGTGTTGAAGTTGAATCTGCTGCACAGATTAAAGCGAATGATTTACAACATAGTAAAGAAATCACCTTATAGAAAGAGAATAAAAATATCTACAAAATCATATTTTGAATAGACTCGCAGATGATCTGTATGATAATTACAGTTGATGTGATACTGCAAAACAAGATTGAGAGACTCGAAAAAAGAAGTATGACGTAGAAGCTGGAGCAAAGAAGTATGTTGTTATCCGCTACTTCAAGTATCAAATGCAAAGATGTAAGGTTGATGGAGGCTCAATGTTACGAACTTCAAAAGATTGCTTAAAAGATCATCACAAAAGGTATGTGTTTAAATGAACAATTTCAAATTGGTTTTATTATTGACAAACTACCCCACAGTTTGAATGTTTAAAAAAAACAAAAAAGGGAATCTTAGAG